ACAACAATCACATCGGAACGGAAGAGTCCAATAATCACGGAAGACATTCACAGATGGTTTCTGATTTGGGGTTGGCCTAAGACGCAGGAGTGGTGGGCAAGGTAAGGATAAATGGGATTGAGGAAGAGTTAAAGCCACTTATTTCCTGACGTATTTTATTGTCTGTGTGAAGTAGAATTGTGGGACTACTACTGAGATGGAAGGGAAGTGGGTCACTTCGGATTTAGAGAGGAATAGTTTTGAGAATGGAAATTAGAGACAATTAGCAAATGATAAAATATTGCCTAAGAGCACCCAAGTCCCCACTGAACACAGAAATCATGTATTTGTCTGATCAGCATGGCTATATGAATTTTTTTTCTCCAGCAGAGTGGCAGCCTGGGGGCACGTATGGAGAAAGTCATGGTTGGATTTACGCAAAGCAGTAGATTGGCAAGGTGGGAACAACTGAAGGAGAATGATGTGAAAGGTCTAGGGTGCTGGTGAGAATGTGGTTGAAAGTCTTGGTCATGACTGGTTGGGTAAGGAAAAAATGTATAGCCGGGAGAGCTGATGGACAGAGAGTGTGGAATGGGGCGGGGGAAGTACCGGCCTTGCTAAGGCTGGCAGGTGGGTTTGGAGGAAGTAAGGGAATGGGACTGATGAAAGGGCAGAGTTTTTGCTTAGACAATGGGTTTTTGAGTTTCAGATTTCAGAGATGAAATAGTTCTGGGGTTGGGAGGTGGGAGGGGGTAGATAAGGGAAGTAGGTCTGGAGCCATACATCACACATTGGGATGGTAAATGATATGATCACCAGACTTCTTCAACTCATTAAAATAAATCTGTCCTTGAAAATAAGATTGATGAGCCCAAATAAATGTAAAATTTGGAAGGCATTTGCTGTGCTTTCCTTATCATGCACTCAGGAGGTAGGATAGGAAGAAATAGGCCTGTAGACCTGGTAAAGAACACTATGTGGAGACCTCACTTCACGGGTGTCCTTCTCTTAAGAGAGTGAACTAGAACAACAGCAAGTTTTATAGTCCAGAGTTTTGGCTTCTCTGGAAAAAGAGGATGATCCAGGCAGCATTGGGCCAGGATTCCCTCAGGGCTGCAGTAAGAGTCCTCACCAGCTTATCTGAGTCCCTACCACCCCATATTGCTGCCCCCCACTTGGCTAAGTGTCAATTGCTATTTATCACTATGTTCACACTGTCTTTCTTAGAGTTAAGAGGAAAGTGAAATATTTCTTATATCTAAGGCTCTTTCAAAATTGGAAGACCAAAGATGAATTAGAAAGAGTATTCCTCTGTATTTGATATGCAAGTATATCACTGTTGAAAAACTATAAATTATGATACTATTATAAAACAAATCCTTCCAGCTTTACTCGTTACATTACCTACCTGGCTCCTAGAGGCATTTGAGTATGCAAGGACTCTTGTAATAAAATAATAGTAGAAATACAATCAAACACATGAGAGTTTGCAGAAGTAGTGTGATAACTAATTTTTAGAGCAAATCATATTGTTGTCTTTGCTGATAGAATAATCTTATTGAATCCCTGGTAATCAATAGATTCCCTTAAAGTGCTACCTAACTCAATAGTCACTGAGAACAATTTAACGAATCCATGCAGTGGTTCCTCAGTGGTTGGAAGGCGTCAATGTAATTCCCTGAGTGCCTAACTTCTTGGCAGCCATATACACTTGTAGAAGATGGTTCTAAGGAAAATGGGCGAAGGATCTTTAGTGTCAGAGGAGAGGAAGAATATGAAAATGAAAGCTTTTGGCAGGTCTAACTTGCCTCATTGATGCCCAGGAAGAAAGGCAATCACTACATATTTCCTGTTGAGTATCATGATAAAATAAACAGAATCCAAGCCTTAGGAGCATTATAGATTAAAATCAACATGTTGGATTAACCCAGAAAGCAAATGGTTTGCCAGTGTGGACCCATACCTTGATATAATCTATATTTCCTTAACGCGTTTTGGTCTGCTTTCTGCTCTAGTTAGCTCTCACATTAAGTATATGGGGAGCAGTCGAATATGAAGGCTCAGAGGTTGAACTGCATCTTTAGAGAAATACAGGAAATAAAATGAGATTGAGATTTGGGAAACGAAAATTGTCATAATACATTGAGGGAAAAAATAATCTGCAGGCCAAGTGCGCAGTGAGTCAGAAAAATTTAGAGAATTGTAATGTTAGAGCCTGCAAATGGGAAACTAGATATGAATTCATAATCTACAAGGGTATAAATGACAGCAAGAAGTCAGTAAACAGTGTCTGTCAGTGTTATTTTGGGAGGCCGAAGGAAGGTTATTATGGACCAGGGAGCCAGCATAGCTCATGTTCTAGGTATTGAATTAAAGACACAAACAAATAAAGACAGTTTGGTGAAGGGTGACAACGAGGATTAGAAACTGAGACGGATTGAAATATGAAGAAAACTTAAAAGAGATAAAGCTATGCATTGCTCGCATGACAAGATGATGAGATTTTAAAGCTATCTACTGACTTTAAACATTATGAACAAATTATTCATCGGCATCTAACCGTTAGTATATAGATATAATAAATTGGCATAAGCACCGTGGAGTTATCCACAATGAGCATTTTATTAATGTTGTGTCTATCTCTATTGCTCTGCTCTGAAAACGAGTCTGAAGGAACCACTAGACAGTACTTGCTGAGGAATGACTATGAGATTTTGGCTCTTTTTCTGACTCTAACTTCTATGAATTTTACAATGCCATGAAAACACTTCAGCAAGAATTTTGGCAAAATATTTACAATTTCTTCAATAACGTTGCTCACAGAAAAGGAGAAATGGAAAGCAATCACTTAGTAACTGCAGAGAGACAAGCAGGAAGGAGGAGAAACAATTGCTTACTATGCTGTCTGTGATGGAAAAAATCTGAGTTTAGCTATTACAAAGCCTTTGGGAGCTGAGAATTGCACATGTCAGAGGAACATGCTACTTCCCATCACCAGATAGGAGAAATGGTACCTTCAGTCTGGCTGTTTGTGTGATGCAGAAGTACAGCTATATCATCCCCAGGCGTGTGACCAGCGGCTTGTGGGAGACAAGCACTTAGGGGGATAAAAAGGAACCTGGCACAGGCCTTGGGCTTCTGGCATCATTAGTTACAGGTCTGCCAAGATGCTCTGGGAAACGTTTTAATTTAAATGCCAAGTCTATTTCAACGAAGTCTCCCTGGTTTGACCTGTTGGGAGTCCAGAGTGAGATGGATAGGTGCTCATTTTGGAGAGCATTAGGCGAATTGGATGGTGGTTTTATGAAAAGCATCCTGGAGATTTAAATCTCTATATATCGCCACTCACCCCGGAAAACTCATGGTACGAGTTGCAGGATAAATGAGTCTCACAGCATTTTACCAGTGATTGGTAAATGTGGGAAAGGGCAGAAATACCTCCAGGCGTTTATTCAAAATATTAAAATTAGAGAACTTTAAGAATAAAGGCCGAGAATTCTTCCTTTCCTCCTCCACAGCATATCCACAGGCTACTATGACTACAAATTCCATCAGGCAGGTTAAGAACCTGATTTGAATTATTTGAATATATTTTTCTGCAAAACTATCACGAGACAGAAAAAATTTTTGAACCAAGAAAGAAAGAATAGGGATGGGAGTGAATAAAATATTAAAACATTGTTGTCCATCCGATGTGAAAATATTTCTGTTAGCATGTAGGCCCAGGTTGGCAAGAGATGGATAAAAGCTTATCTAATGGGTTACAAAAACAAGAATCCAGTGGATCAGAAGAATTAAAACGCCCCCAAGAATAACATGAAGGTATTTGAAGTTGCTTCAGAGGCAAGAGCGGGTATGTATATGCGTGTAAAGGCCCTCTTCTCAGAGGCTACTGGGCAGTTTGCTACAACATCATGCTAATGAAAGCAAGGTCTTTAAATTCACCCCCAGCGGACTATCAGTTTCTTCTTAGCACCCTGCGGGAAGAGCATTCCTGGAAAAGGAAACACACTAGTGGGAGAAGAGCTGGGGTGCTAGAGAAGGGCTGCAGGCTGGAGCCAGGAAACCCGGGATGGAGAGGTGGGTGGGGCCAGGCTGGGTGGGGCCTCGGCTACCAGGCTGCGGAGTGTGGGCCCTCTCTGGCTCGACGGATGGAGACCGCGCGAAGTATTTGCGCCGGGGAGCGCCATGATCAGGGTTGATTTTTAGGTCGGTCCTTCTACTTGAAGCAGTGGGTGGAGGGGGAGGACCAGAGAGGGCAGGGACCAGCTGCAGTGATCCAAGTAGTATCCTGCACCCAAAGATGAGTGTGACCTAGGGCGGGGCCCACAGAAGGCTGGACCAGCCGGCATCCCTGGCGACGGGATCGGGAAGGACAGCAGGAAGGAGGGACGACAGTGATAAATCCCTGGAGGACGACTCAGAGGGCACAAAATAGGCTCTGCCGAGATCCTCTGCTCCTCACCCCCCCACCCTGTCCCAGCATCCTTGCTACCAGTTGAATCAGTTCACCCAGTTCAGGAGCCCAAGGGAACGGAATTGGTTTCTGTACGTGACATGGGTCTGGCCCCCTGGGGAAGCCCAGAGGGGAACGTCCGAATGGCCTTTCCCCGAGCTGTGTGGGAGGGGAGCGAGTCCCGCGAACCAGGCGGGGGTTCGGAGGCAGGCGCAGCGGCCGAGCCCCGGGACCTTCACTCCGGGCCCCACGGCCTGCTTGGTAGTTGCCCCTCGGGGCGCCGGGCGGGTGATTGGCAGTTGCCGCAGCTCTGGAGGGTGGCGGGTATCCAGGACCGGCGGCCGCCGCCCGTCGCCGTCCGCTCCGCAGCGAGGTTCCGCGGCCCGATGACCCGGCCTCGGCGAGAGCAGCCGCGACGGCGGCGACCTGGAGCGGACGCCCGGGCGGCTCGCGGTGGGTCGGGGGGCGGCCGGGGAGGGTCCCCGCGGCCTGTAGGGGGCAGCGCCGAGCCCGGGAGGAGGCAGCCGCGGGCGAGGGTGGTGAGTCTGGGCTGCCCCCTTCAGGAGCTGCCCCGGGCCGCACGGCGGCTGTCACGGCCCGGCCGCCCCTGCCCGCCGTGCGCTTCCTCCCGGCGCCGCAGGCCTCAGCCGGGACCCTGCGAGGACGTGGCGGGGCCCGGCACGCGACGACCTCGGGGGAGTTGGGGCTGGGGAGACCCCAGCGTCGCCTCCCGTCCGCCCGGGACCGCGAGACCCTCGGGAGGCGCCTCCGCGAGGCCAGAGAGCCTCGGGGCGCCGGCCGCTCGCCCTCGCCCTGAGCCCGAGGTGGGCAGCGGCCCCGGGGCTGGGCGCCCGGTTCGCGCGTGCTGGGTGCTCCAATCTCCGGGGTGGGCGCCCCGAGCCACCGGGGTGGGCGCCCCGAGCCTCTGAGGGGGCGCCCCGTTACCTCGGGGTGGGTGCCTGCAGCCCCGGAGGTGGCGCCCGTGGCCCCGGTGGGCGCCGGGCCGCGCGGTTATTTTTGGCGCCCGCAGCGGCGCGTGTGTCGGGGCGTGTTTTCCTTCCCCAGGTGCCGGGAGCCCGGCTCCGCTGCCGCCCGAGTGACTCGTGCCTCTCTCTTGTCTCCCCTGCAGGAATCTGCCGATAATTCTGCCGCCACGACTTCAACCGTGCGCGAGGCGAGCTCGAAACAAACATCACATCTAAATTAAAAAAAAAAAAAAAAAAAAAGCGGAAGAAGCGGCCGAGGCGGCGGCGGCGGGAGGAGGAGAGGAGGAGGAGGGGCCGCGCGGCGGCCCGAGGCGGCGGCGGGGACGCGGGGACGCGGGGACGCGGCTTTGTGCAGGCGGGTCGCGGGGCGCCCATGGCGGAGTGTGACCGGGGGGGCGCCGCCGGCGGGGCCCTGCCCACCTCCCCCGGCCCGGCCGTTGGCGCCAAGAGCGCCCTGAAAGCCGGAGCCGGGGAAGGCGGCGGCGGCAGCGGCGGCGGGGGAGGTCGCCTCGGCCACGGGCGGGCGCGCTATGACAGCGGCGGGGTTTCCAACGGAGACTGCAGCCTCGGCGTGTCCGGGGACGAAGCCCGGGCCAGCCCAGCCAGGGGACCTCACGGCGCTGCGCTCGCCCCGACCCCCAGCCCGGCCGCCTGCCCCCTCCCCCGGGAGAGCAAACCGGGCGGCCTGCCCCGCCGGAGCAGCATCATCAAGGTAGGTGGGAGAAGGGCGCTCATCACCCACCCCAAGCCGTCCTTGGGGTCTCTTTCCCCAAGAGGGGAGTGGTGGTGGAAGGAGGGGGTTGCAAGAGGAGCCCAAGGCTAACGGGAACCACTGGTGCACGGGTGCTTGGGGTGGTTGAGCAGGGACTGGATGCAAATGGCATTTGGAAAGAATGGAGAGGTGATCTTTAATGTGCAGGGGGAGCTGTGCTCAGGCATCCCCAGTTGAACTTGGGGCTGTCACATCTCCCAGGATTGTCCTGGAATTATGGCCTGTACCTGCCTGGGCATGGCAAGCTCTTCTGTGGTAGCCTAGGCTGGTGACAGACTCCCTGTAAGGTTTCTGTTGTATGTTAAAGACAGTTAGTGATTATGTGAAAATCCCCGGTGGTGAACAGAGATTATTTAATAGGTTTCTTCTGATGTGTATATACTTGCCTCTTGCAAACGGTTATACTTCCAGGGTGCAAAGTCTCTGGTCACTCAAGTCACACGGAGAAATGGAGTAGGTTTCTGACCGTAAATGCAGATTTCCGCTTTCTTAGACGCAAAAGCGCTGAGAGATTACAGTTCTGCACGATTTAATCTTTGGCTTGCTGCAGTAGGCAGGCCTCCAGTTCTGTGGAAGTTCTTTTGGGCAGTTTGCTTGATTTTGGTATCTTTTGCATGGTGTTATTTAGCAGAAGAAAGTCAGCCATGGTTTTGTGCATTATAAACTCAAGAAGTAATATTAGGAACTCCTGAGTTTGTGGTGATTTCATTCTAATATTACGTTTTGGTCTGCAGTGTAAAAATATTTCGCGTGACATGAAGTGAAAAAATAGTTGATGAGCTAAGAAGAGCAGAGCCTTAGGTAAGACTAGCTCATTCTGCTCAAGTTTGGAGCAAATATGAAAATGTTGTGTTCTGAAAATCAAGGAGTTACCGGGACAGTGAGCAGCAAAGCACATTGATGGGGCTGCACCCACCCTTCCTGTGGCTGATAACTGGTGGGAGAGAGGGCAGAATGGGCCACAGCGAAGAGAGCTGGCACTGGTGGTATTTGAAATTCGATTAGACCTAGAGAAATCTTCCAAGTACTGTGTAAGTGTCTCATGGTGTTACCAACTTCTGCAGTAATCTCACGAAATATACCACCTTGTTACTCTGTGTAACAGGCAGTTGTGAAACTGCTTTTCGCTTTGTCATCTGTTTGCACAGTTTATGTCTGGGCAAGGGGACAATTGAAGATCTTAGAGATCAAGTACGTTAACTACCTGCACCAGCGTTTAGAGTCTGTCTAAGGAAAGTAGTCTATTTTTGCTGCATACCTAACTCCTAGTGACTTATATTTTCTTTTACTCTGTAGCTTATGTTTCCATGGAAGTTGCTTTCAACTGTGCATGGTATTCAGTCCTTTTGACAGAATTATGTGTCATATCATTTTCATTGGTTACTAGATATTTGTGGTGATTTTGCATTGTGGTGTTAATGAAATTTGATGTAAAAGTTCCAAAGAAGATACCAGCCTACCTCATTTTAACTCCTTTCCCCCAATTTTTTGGAGGGCCTGTTTTGCACCATTTAAAAAGCAATTCAAACTTTTTCGTGTCCATAGTGGAATTCACAGTGTAACTTTACTTAATTACAACAGCATCTGTTTTAATTTTACATTCATGGAAGATTAGGAAGAAGGGTGATTTGCCAATATTTCTGACATGTGGAATTGAGAACTTGCTGGTAGATATCATTTCTTCATTGAAGATTCTGGAAGCACATAGGGAAATGATTAATTACTCAGATATTGCTGATTTTTGAATTTTGAAACTTTCAAAGGTATCTTTGTCACTTTTCTTTCTTTCTTTCTTTTTTTTGCTGAGGAAGATTTGCCCTGAGCTAACATCTGTTGCCAATCTTCCTCTATTTTCATGGCCACTGGCAAGTGGTGTAGGTTTCTGCCTGGGAACCAAACCCGGGTCGCTGCAGGGGAGCGCACTGAACATAACCACTAGGCCACCAGGGCTGGCTCCTCCTGTCTAATGAGGGCAGTTGACTTCTTGTTCACAATTGTATCCCTTCGTGCACATTGCCAGGAACGTAGTCGGGGCTCAATAGATTACTTCCTGAATGAATGAAGAAATGATAAGAAAGTACATGTTTTCTCATTACTGTTCTGTTAATTTCTAAAACGGGTGGTTTTGGATTTACCAGTCTAATATCTTGTTCATTGTTTTGTACCTCCTCAGATGACTTGACAGACTTCATTTTCTAGTCTCTATGTTCAATTTGCCTTTTCTTAAACACCCTTTAAAACTAGGGAAATAGTGTTGAAATTGATCAAGCCTGGATTATAGGAAGTGGGTATGCAGTATGAAATAGCTAACTACTTGGTATGTTTCCCCTTGAATTCGTGCCTTGAAGGATCAAGATTTTAGAAATTTAGCGTGGTATTTCCCAAAGACATAACAGCATCAAGACAATATCCTAATAGAAGAAAGAGATCTTTTACTTGAACATCAAATTTCGTAAAGCAGTGAATAGCGCACAGACATTTTTATCACATGAATGGCAGAAATTAAATTTCACTTTTGTTAAAAAATAATAAACAGCTTAGCAGAAGCCCATGTGAAAAAGCCATCCTGATGTCGTTCTTTGATTTCTTCATGTTCTCTTTGAATATCAGGGATGAAGGCAGCAGGCGATCTCAGGTAGAGGCAGGAATAGATCAGTAAGCAAGGTGATCATTGTGGACTTGAGGGGTTGGTAGGGAGTAAAGGCTGGCTAAGGAACTGGGGCCAGTATTCATGGGGTGCATTTGTTGAAAAAGTTGGGCTCCTGAGCTATGCCTGTTTCTTAGCTTCCATCTTTGTTATAGTCTTGACATCCCTCTTAGGTGGGGATCCGCAAATCAGAGGGAGAAATAGCAGCCTCCCTGTGATACACGGTGGGCAAAGAAAGAGGACCATTGCTGAGGTCCAGGACATACACAGAAATGCGCTGTAGGCTGACCAGAATTATGATTCTCATTTAAAATCATTTCTTGGGAACTCCATCTGTTTTGTAAATATGGTGTTGACTAAGAAATTGTTGTAAAACTACATTTTCTGCCAGAATAGATGCACAGATCTGTATTAAAAGAGCTCCTTGGTTAGGGTAACAGTGTTGGTGAAAATTCAGAGTGAGCAGCCTTGTAGAATCTTTTACAGATACATTGAGAAGATAATAAAGCAGGGAACTCATCACCAGACTTTTCTCCCTTTCCTTAACCAATTGAAAATATGTTACACTTTGTAGATTATTTATAAAGGCCTATTACTAGATTTTTGGGGAAGGAACCGTTATGCTTGTCATCTTAAGTAATCTAGTAAACGAAAACATCACTTTCATTTTCTCTTTCCATATTTCATTTCATCACACCGTTCAATACAATCCATACTTTATTTTGAAGCAGTTTGGTTAATTGTTCACATGGCATCCATTTTTTACAGATAGCTCGATCCTTTAATTCAAGAGCTGAGTCTAAAAGGATGAAGTACTATTTTAGGCCTCAGATTTCGTTTTAATTTTAGAAATAAATGAAGTTAAAATGTCTATTAGTTGGGATGGTTTATTTTAATCAAAACTAATTGAGTATTGTGGTTGGTACTTTTAAAAATGTGGTATAATTTGCATAAATTAACATTCTCTCTTGCTGGTGTCCAGTTCCATGACATTTGACAAAGACACTCAGTCATGTCACCATCACCGCCATCGAGATATAGGACAGTTGCATCACCTCAAAAAATTCCCCTAGTCCCTTTGTAGTCTCCCCTCCCCCATCGCCAGACCATGGCAACCATTGATCTTGGGTACTTTTTTAATAAGTAGGAAATATAGCCATTGTATTATTTTGGTATTTAAAAGTAATTACAGCAGCCACCATTTATTAATCATTTGCTATGTGTAAAACACATGAAAAGTGCTTAACATAATTCTCTGACTTGGTCGTGTCCCAACCAAGGAGGCTGAAGAAAACCAGAGTTCAGAGAGGTTAACTACTTGCTCAGGGTGCTGGGGCTGGTTGTTGTATCCCACGTGGGTATGGCTGCGCTCCACTGCCCCCCGAATTACACTGGCAGGTTAAAATTTTCTATACAGTTAAGGCACCCTTAGTGGTTTGGAACACTGGATTTGATTTTCCCCTTTAAATGTAGGGGATATCGGAGGGGGAAAGAATCTCTATTTCTGCTGGCAGAAGAAGTTGACAGAGAATTCTGCCAGGCAGCTGTCTAGTCACCTGTTGTGACCGCTTGACCAGAGCCTCTAGCTTCACTGGGACCAGTGGTTGGACCTTACCCAAGGTGGCAGCCCTTATTTTTCTTTCTTTCTTTTTTTTTTTGAGGAAGATTAGCCCTGAGCTAACTACTGCCAGTCCTCCTCTTTTTGCTGAGGAAGACTGACCCAGAGCTAACATCTATGTCCATCTTCCTCTACTTTATATGTGGGACGCCTACCACAGCATGGCGTGCCAAGCGGTGCCGTGTCCGCACCCGGGATCCGAACTGGCGAATCCCGGGCCGCCGAGAAGCAGGATGTGCGAACTTAACCGCTGCGCCACCAGGCTGGCCCCCCTTATTTTTCTTAATATCATTATTGTCATTATCACAGTATCATGGTGTGTAAGAGAAACACTTTTACTATCTTTACACCAACATATATCCCTATGTCTTGATGCTGTCCACCCCAAGGTGGGAGCAAGCAGGCCTTTCACATCTATTGTACGTATTTAAACAAAATAATAAAAACGTAAGTATGGATATTGGCCTGTGGTTTAAATAAACTAGACTCCTTGCAGGCAAGCGCTGGGCTGTGATTGGCAGTTCTGCACAGATAACTAGCTCTCAATAACCATTTTTTGAATTGGATCTTAAAAATAATATCTGCATTTGACTCTAGACTTTTTTTTTTGAATGGGGGAGGAAGACAACTGCATTCCAGCAAACTTGTGGGCATGGCATAAATATTAAACAAACA